TATATATTAAACTATATTTTTTATATAATAATTATATTATTAATATTAATATTTTATTTTTTATTAAAAAATTAATATTTTTTTTTATGTTCGTAGGCAAATTTGCCTGCGTTATAGATGAAGGGATAATAGGAACTTTGTTATATTAAAAATGAAATAAATTTAAAATGCAAAAAACAAAAAAATTATTATATATAAAATTGAAATTTAATCCATAAAATAAATAAACCATAATGCACACTTTAAGAATTTTGAATTAGAATTTTAATATCTTCAATATTAATAGAGTTACAGATTAAATTTATCTAAAGTTAATTATAAAAACTGAAATTAAAATAATATGTAATTACAAATTTATGAAAACTATTCTTTTATCGTTTATTTAGAACAATATTTTTTCATTCTAATTGAATGATTCTTTTATCATTTATTTAGAATATTATATTTATCATTCTAATTGAATAATTCTTTTATTATTTGTTTAGAATGATGTTTTTATCATTCTAATCAAGTAATTATATATGAATTTAATTACAACAAATTATTCCTAAAACTTTACATTCAATTCCTTTAATTATAATTTAAAAATATATATAAAATTATGGTATAGGTTAGTCTGTAATTAGTTATAATCAGTAATAAATAAGCATTACAGTATTGTAACTAGTTGTAATATTAATAAAAATTGAATTATAATTAGTTATAATTGGTAACAAATAAGTATTACATAGTTGTAATTAGTTGCAGCGTTATTTTTAAAAAAATATTATTGAAAAATTAGCTAAAGTTTGCAGTTAAAAAATATGTCTTATTGTCATATATCTGATACAATTTTTAATAAAATAATAAAATAAATTGTTACATATGATTTTTAAATTCTAGTTTCTAATTGGCTTATATATATTATACAATACTTACATAATTTATAAAATTGAACAAAAAACTTTTTTTATAAATTGATTTATTTTTATAAATATAAATCAATTTTTTTTATTTGATTAAAATCTAATTACAGAATAAATTTTATGAATGCTTTTTAAGTTCCTATTATAGAGATTTCACATTGTAAAATAATAATTTAAAACAAATATTTTGTAATATTTAAGATAATTTAAAAATATTACTTTTTAATAATTTTTTTTTATAATCCTATTAAAAATATTTATGTTTTTTTTTAAATAAAAAGTTAAAAGTAAATAGTGTAAAAGAAAAATTTGTGAAAATTTTTTTGAATTAATAGAAAGAAATAAAATAATCTTGAAAAGTTAATTGTATCAATAATATGCAAAATCAACTTGAAGCATATATTAATATAAAGGAAATTATACTAAATATTAATTTAAAAATAAAATAATTAAATTTAACATCAACTTTTTAAAAATATATGATAATTAAAATATTATTATCACTAAGATCTGTTTTATAAAAAAAAATTAATAAATAATTTTATAATAATAAGTATAAAGAAACTTTTGTAAATGTAGTAAAAATTTGTGAGATTCTTCTAGGGTTTTCAATTGATATTCTTTAACCCTTTACAATAGTAAACTATCTTTAAAATTAATGATGATGATAAAAAAAAAATCTTGAACAAACTTGTTGAATAACGTAATACTGTACATCATACGTATTGTTTATTAACGTGAAATTATTTGGTCTTATTGAAAAAATCACGTGAAATTTCATATGATTAATAAAATGAAATAGGTTAGTTTTATTCAGATATCGAGTACAAATCAGAAATTTTTTTTTTATTGTGAATGAATAAAGAAATCCTTATTCGGAAAAAAAATACCGGAGTTATTACTTCGGAGTTGAACAAACGGAATCGATTATGTACAGTAAGTGCAGATGGCTGAAACTTTATATTAATAATGAAAAATAACAAATTTTAAAAAGTCATTGTTCAAATACATACACTCCCCCGATTTCTCCTAATTATTTATCTTTTTATTTTAACTAATTAAGATTTTCGTGTTCCCATCTTAAATTTAGACATCGTACCCAAAAATAGATTTTTATCACAAATATTACTTATTTTCTTATTTTTATTGAAAATTCCTTAAAAAAAAATTATAGTTTACAACATATTAAAGGTTAAATTGATGTGTCTAGTGCTTGAAATTAAAATAATCTAATTACCAAATTTATAAAAAAATTCGAGTTGTCTTAAACAAATATTAAAATTGTTCGGAATGTATAATACAAAAGGAATAAATAAAACGCGTATTCAATTTCAAAAAAAAAAAATAAAAAATAAAAAATAAAAAGTAAATTTGATTATATAATTTTCTCAATAAATAATTTTTTTTTTTTTGTCTAAATATGAATGATTAATCAAATTTAAAATGATTTATTTTCTTCTAAAGACTTCGATGTTGATGGTTGGATTCGAATTTTGAAATATATTCTTTGCAATTTCCATCTTCATGAGTATGAATCCAAAATTTTTCTGTTTTATAATTACAAAATAAATTTTCTTTAGCCGCTAAATAAGTAAGTATGGCTTGATCTTGCCTATGATTAATCCTACTACTTCCAGGAGGCGCAATACAATCTTTCACAAGAGCGCATTTATACCATTCATCAATTAAATGTTTGGTTTTTCTGGTGTCAAAACTGATACTTGCGCCATTACAATTCACGACATTATCATATTTTTCATGATCATCACCATAATATTCATAAACCCCAGGATGAGTCCAAACCTTCATTGTAGCTGAAGAACGTGGTGAAATGAATCCTCCATATCTTTTCAATAATGAAGTTAGTTTTGTAAAATATTTTCTTTCAACCAAAGTTCCACTATCCAGCCAAACTAATTTTCCAGGATAATCACGTGCTACTTCAGCCATCATAGCCGGTTTCCATGCGTATTCACCTCTTGATAAAGTTATATTCCAAAATGAAGGATAATGTGACCATTGAAAAGTTCTTAATTCTGTTAAATAACCGAGCTTTTGTAATTGTTTAAGAGTTTTACGTTGGGAATTAGAAAACCCTAAATCATATACTATTATTCTTGCATTTAGCCCATTTAACGTTTCTTTCATATTATAAAGAAAACTTTTCATTGGACAAAAATGATTTTCACTTGCTCCCGTTATAACCGTAAATTCGTATTTTTGATCTGTTTGCGTCAGTGGATGAACAGCTGGCTGAATATCAATATCATATATTTCTTCTGATGTTTCTAAAGGAGATGATGGGCTATAATCTGTATCATGTAACATACACTTTATACATGGCGAAATATTACCTATAAAATCAAACAAATCAAAAAAATTTAGTAAATGTTTGAATCAAAATGTAAACAGAATATTTCTTTTAAATACCTGAATCAATCGAATAAGGAAACATTTGAATATAAATTTTCATCACTAGGAAAATAATTACAAGCACTAATGCTAATACTTGTAATCGTTGAATAGTTTTTTGCCGTATGGATCCACTATTCCTTTTAACCAATGTTACTCTTTTCGTCATTATTTTATTATTTTTTTTTATTTTTATTTTTTTTTTCGTAATTACTCAATAATAAAAGTGAACAATTTTTTTTTTTTTTTGGTTTTTTTTTTGGGTTTTTTTTTTTTTTTTAAAAAAAAAAAAAAAAAGAGTATCTGGTGTGAAAGTATGAAACTTTCATTCTATTTATATTGTTTTTTCCTCTATATCCACATTATGCATATCGGGTTTTCATAAAAAAAAAAATTCTGAAAATAGAACTCTATCGTTTCATTATCCCTAATATTCTGATTTAGCAATTTTCTATTTTTATTCTTACCAATATAATACTTGACAGGTGGGTGATACAAAGACAATTAGCCACATTCAAAAGAAATAATCTACTATGATAAAGTTGCATACTTTATACTTTATACTGCGTTTAAATGTGCAGAACTGGCTTTACAGAATCCCCGAATTTCCCTTTTATGATTATCATGAGTTGAATCTGTACTAAACATTTGATAATTTCCTATATTTTCGGTTCGTTCTTTATATTTATGATTCTAGAATAATTGAAAGCGATTACGATATCATTATTATTCATAATCTTTTTTTTTTCCATATCAAAAAAAAAAATGTTATTATAATTAATAAAAAGCAAAATTAATTTATAACAACAAATAAATTGTCGATCAATTTAAAATTAACTTTAATTAGCCGAAACACCGAGATATTCGCCTAAAAAAAAAAATCAAAAATCAACTTGGTCATAAAACCATTGATGTGTTTGACAAGTGATGGAAATTATTTCCGGATGTTCTTGTTTAGAAACTGAAATTACATTGTCGAAATTATTTTTTGAATTATTTGAATCAAAATATAATTAGTTCATACTTTTTGTATAAAAAACATTGAATCTTGATTCTAATAATCGAAATACATTTTGAATTTCAAACGGAAACAATTTTCTTTTTTAAGTGAGTGGCCAACGCTAATTTTTCACGCAAAATCCCGAGACAAATTGTGAAACCTGAATTCGCTAAAACTCAAATTAGTATATTTTTCTCTCGAATTTAGTATGTTCATAATTTTATTGTCAAATATAAGTTCTGTTATTTAAAAGATTTAACTTATAAAATGTTTTAAGTATGTAAAATTTTTCTTTAAAAACAAAATGTTTTGCTGAACTATCAAAAAAATGCGTCAAATTTGGGTTTTCACGGATCTACAATAAAAAACCGTGAAAATTATTCTTAAAACTATTCAAATGACAAAAAATCCTACTTGTAATACCTTTTATATAGGTATCAAATTAGTATTTACTATTTTAAATGGAGGCTATCATTAGAAAGGATCTGGAATAATAGGTGAAAGTTCTTTTAAAGAACTATGTAAGAAAATTCTTTAACCATAGAAAACTTACATAAAGCTTTTCAAATATAAAGCATATAATATAGAAGGATAGTATAATACTTAAAAGTAAAATGTATTTGTGTCCAGAAATATGTGGCGGTAAATCTCAAATATGTATGTGAAAATAAATAAAATATGTGATAATATGTGTTTAAATTTTAGGTAAAATTATTAAAAGTCAATTTATTTAATACAGTGAATTAAGCATTAAAATTGATTTTGTACTTAATTAGAAATATATCTACATCGGTTACTGGTAACCAAATATAAATAAATGCTATGTTTATAAATTTGGTATCAAATTCATGAGTAAATTATGCTATTCATCTAATAAGAAAAGGACTTATCTTTAATCTAAAAATTTTTTAGTTTAGAAGTTCTAGAACTTACAAAAGGTAAGCATATTATTAGCTTACTTTTTTAATTTTTTTTAATTATATTGGTATATGATAAAGCATTTCTATGTATAAATTCAAAACATTAAATATCTTTAAATAATGGTAACAAAAAATTTAAAATTATAATTAATTTAAAGTTTGTTTTGTAAAAAAAAAAATTTAATCAATTATTTCTAATGAAATGGAGAATTATTTGCATCATTTTCTAATGCAGCTTGGAATTGATTCACATAATTTGTAATAAAAGCTACTAAATTATTATTTCTAATTTTAAAAATTCCAAATCAGAAATAATATAAGACCTTTGCAATAGAAAAGGGAGAAACGACTGAAAAAAATAAAAATTGAATTCATGCTAAATCTGAACATATTTTGATCTAAAAATTATATTTGGCATATAAAAGTAAAATTGATTTTTTCTGAATGTTTCACCGCTTCTATTGCAAAGATCCCATATTAGATAAAATTAAGTAAGGAATAAATTAATTTAATATTTTACACTTTAATATTAATATAAAAATTAATTTACTAATTAGTATTACATTTAATTATAATTTAAAATGAAAACTACCATTTAATTCTGAATGTTTTTGCTAAATTACAAATTGTTTTATATTATTATTCAAATTTTCTTCTTAATAAAAAATAATATAATATATAAAATATGATTAAAAGATAATATTAGAATTAAAATTATTTAAACTTTACTATTAGAATTTAAACTATAAAATAAAGTTATTACTGTAATAGCGTTTATAAAAAAATTGCTAATATAATTTCTTTTTTTTGCTAAATTATAAATACAATTATTTTTATTATTTAATATATTATTATTAAAATGTTAAAAAAAAAATTATATTAATATTTTTCAATTAAATTTGTAATATAAGCAAAACACTCATTTATAATATGATTAGTAATAAATTTTCAAAGTTTGATTATAATTAATACAATCAAGTCTTTATAAATACATTCTCTATAAATGCATACCCTTTATAAATGCACTTTTTATCTAGTTTCAACTTATATCTTAATGCTAAATATACATTTTTATATATACAGTCAACTCTTGTTATAATGAACTCTATGTCTTAGATCTCAACTTCACTATAAGGCTATAGTGAAGATTTTAAGAGATTTGATTGGCCAATTCGCTATAACAAGAGTATTTTTATTATATTTGTTCAAAAAATTCGTTATATCAAGAGTTCACTATATCAAGAGTTGCCTGTATATTTCTATAAATAAACTATTTATAAAAAATTTTATATATTTTACTTATAAATTTTTTGTATTACCTTAATTTTAGATTAATATTATATAGATTTTATATATATTTTATAAATGCATATCCTTTTTAAATATATCTTTATACTTAGTTTTAAGGAGAGTGCTTTTATAAAGAGTTAACTATATTATTAATAAAAATAATATATAATTATATTTTTATAATATTAATAAAATTATTTGTAAGATTATTATAATAAAATATTTTATAATAACTAATTTTTTTTAATCCTAAAAATAAAAGTATATTAATTATTATTTGTTATAAATATTAGGTAATAATTTATTTATTTTAATTTAATAAAAATATTTTAATTATTAATTTATTAATTTTTACAAAATTTTAACATAGTCATAAATTTTAATATAATTTTATATATTTTTTAGATTTTTAATAAAATTTTAATATAATTTTACTAAGCTTAATCTTTTATTATTAAATATTATTAACTCTTGTAAATTTAATTAATTTATTTTAATAATATATAGTAGAATACTACTATATAATATAAATTATATTATATGATGGTATCTCACTTATCTTAGATTATATTATCACTATATAATCTGGGTATAATTATATGATCTAAATATCACCATATAATCTGAGTACTACTATATGATCTAAATAATATAATCTATTACTACTATATGATCTAAATAATATAATCTAATTATCATCATATAATTTATTTATTTTCATATATTAGGTATCTTTTTTATGCTCTAGCTACTCTTTTAAATCTTTCTTGCTATCTGTATTTTTTATCACCATATAATCTAACTAATACCCACTATTTAATCTAACTACCACTATATAATCTAAATACCACGCTTTTCTTCTTATTTCTGAGTCATTTATATGTTAAATTATATAATGGGGTTGTTGGTCTTCTGTAATTATTTAGATACTTGATTTTATGTTAAAATGCTGACCTCCTGCGTCTAATTGGATGCTAGATTTTATATTGAAATACTTTCCCTTTGTGCCTATTTGATTATCTTTCTAGATGTCAAAATATGATAAAAAAATATCATATCAAGCGGTATAATAATTTGATGTAAATTCGTGTCAAATTTAGCTAGCACTATAACATAATTTAGGTTAATCTTTAGAGCATGTAATTTGAGGATACCATGATGATGACTTGATAGTATTCTAGAACTATTATAGAACTGGCAGAAAACTAGAGTATTTCTATTAGTTCGCTAGTTTCAGGCTAGCTTGAATGCTAAGTTATTATGCTTAAAGATCTAGCTGAAATTGTAAAATAATGTTAGCTGAATTTATACTGCATCCTACTGTGTCAGTTACGTGATCCTATTACAGTACTAAACATTCTCATAATTACAGGCTAATGACAAAAACATTCCTAAAATATTCCTGAAACTCGCAAAAAATTAATGGTTATGCTTTTCTCAAAACTAGTAAAGAAGATTTTGAATAATATGGTCTAAAAGCTGATCTTGCTACAACAGAATGACAAATCTCATTAGATAGCTTACATAATATCACTGGCTAAGTTTAATTCTACTTTTTGACTACTTATCTGCTATCAAGAGCGGAGGCTGAGGTATTATGCTTTTTGAAGATGTGATAGGTATTATTATAGCTAGCCATTTGTTTATTAAAAGTACATCATTTCGCAATTCAACTATTGCCTATTAATTGCCAGTACATGTTTGCC